AAAGCTTCCAAGCTGCTCATGGAAAGTCAGTGAAGCAATTACGTTAATGACTGTGAATGGGGCTAAAAACAATCTTGGATGAAAATGAGTGAGGGGCCGAATGAAGCAACCAATTCATAGCCCAGCTCCCGCATCCAGGAATATTTCCAGTAAGCAAAGGCCTTGTTTTAGGGACTGTCTCATCCCCCATTTGTGCTTGGTGGGACTCTATTTCCACTCTGCTGGGTCCGGTGTCTCATCAAAATGCCTTCATAAATGGAGCAAACAAGGGCTGTATATGGCAGGGAAACAGTCAATTAACACGATCTGAGTTCTTTTAGGGGCAGAGTTAATCAAGCATTCAGCGTTTTGTCATTCTTGTCTTTCTTTCCTGGGAAAATCCTATTAGTATAAAATCACTTAATTGGGCACTTCAAAGAGCTGATGGGAAAACAGTCTTCGCTGGGATATAAACGCCATTCAGCCGAACACTGGGTTCATTTAGACTTTTGCTGGAGCGTGAGTGTTTCATTAAGAGCCTTCACGTTTCCCACTTAAAAGAAAAAAGCTTGTTAGTAGAGATAATAAAAAGAAAAAAAAATCTTGGAGATTTGAATCTTGCTGAAGAGGGTTTTTACTGCCTGAATAGGCGGGGCTTTGTTTCAGGGCTTTGTCCTCAGCACAGCCTCTTACACCTAGAGTTAGTTGCCTGTCAATCTGCTTTCCTGAGCTGAGCGATTTCACACCTGCCTGGGGTGTTCTTGCAAGTAAAAGGTGTTTGAGGAGGGAAAGAGTCAGCCCTGGTCAGACCTTTGGGGTGTAGGATGATGCGTTTTTGCGGGACTGAACCCCAAAGCCCGTGCGCTCGTCCCCGCTCTCTGTGCTGGGGTAGAGGTCCCGTCTTAATTCCCCCACTCTCAGGTTGTTTCCCTGGGCAGAAATTCAGGTTTTTGCAGAGCTTACATTTATCCCCCCTTGAAAAATAACACAGTGTGCCCTGATCTGTCATTGCCAACTCTATCCCAAAAGACCTGAAGGATGCTCATCTGCCTGACCCTTTTCTGTTTCTTCCTGCTACATTGGTTGATCTAACAGGAATATTACATTCCAGCCCCCCCCACCAAAAACCACTTCACGTATACCTTTGACCACCAAATCTCCAAACCTTCCTTGCTGCTGGGGAGGGCTGGGTGAGGCACCACACAGATCGCTTCGTTTCTGTGGTCGGCGCTGGCAGGCTTCTGTCTGGGAAAACGTTTCCAGGTCAATCACATGCTTATATATTAATGACATTTTGTAGTCAGCCTTTATAAAATCCTTACATGTAGGTGTTCATGTGCATTTAAAACAGTTGTTATAAGCATGGGTTGGATCTCAGTGTGTGACTCCCATCAAACGGGCTGAGATCCTTCCCTGGTGCAATGTTGGGTTCTTCCCTTTGGGGTCAGGATTACCTTACGTGGTTCCACAAAGCCACGTTTCCCCATTCTTCTCCATCTCACCCAAGGCTGGGGCATTCAAACCCTGACTTCTTCACCTGACAAATTATTCCCCTGCTCCATGCCAAAGCTCCCACCCACATCTCCTTGGCTTTTAGGGGTGCTGCTCCCCAAGTCCCCAGAGAGGATGAAACTTGGTGTCAGAGGCGATGTGCCCGGGCACATTCCCTTGACGAAACCCCGGCTGTGCCAGCGCTGAGGATGGGCTGAGTCACGTACCAACTCTGCCCACTGTGAATAATGTATTTGCATCTGTGTCTGCAGTGGCTTCCCCTCCCCTCGGTGTCTGCGGGACCCACCTGGGGAGATCCCCCCGGGAAGGAAATGCTCCCAAGGGGCCCCGGCCAAGGCAGCAAGTGTCACTTGGTATTTAGGTGCCCCTGGTGCTGGGAAGAAGGTTACTTTGAAGGCTATGAAATATGCATTCATTTAATATGCTCCTTTTGCTTCCAGGCATCAGGATGGGTTTTTCAAGCAAATTACAAGGACGGATTCTCCCAGGATCACACCCCTCCCAGGTGGGGGTTTGGGACACCCCTTGGGAAGGGCGAGCCTGGGACAGGAGAGCTGACAGCTCCCACTCAGTGGCTATAAATGGTGAGAAGGAAACACGCCGATCTTGGTCCCCAGCCCTGTGCCTCTGACCTCCTACTACTACATCTTGTTGGGGCTGAACATCATGAGTCACCTTTGGGATTTTTTTTTTAAAGTTCCTGTACCGCCTTCTGTATTAATCACACTTTTTTTTCCCCCTTTTTTTCTAGCAATGCCACTGCAGACTTGACCATGGACTGTCTGACCCAGACCCTGACGCCATTCGTCTCCCCACTTCCCATTTCCAGTAACCCACTTTGCTGAGGTCTCCTCTGATGCTGGTGCTGCCGTGCAGCCGGAGGTCCTCAGCTCCTGGTGTGGGGGCATGAGGAAGGGGAGCGAGAGCGGAGTTCGCAACAGCCAGAAACCTGCCCCCCCCATCATTCTGGGGTGCAGGGAGAGGACCCCACCCCACCAAAAAAAATCACAGACATAATGACAGTTATTTTCCTAAGGGAAAATCTATGTCCAATTTATTTTCTGGCTGGTTTTGACCTGGAATGTATTCCCTGTGTAACTGGGAATATTAGCATCAGGCAAGGCTGGTCGGTTATCTCGCGTCACTTTGTTTTTTTAATTCCTTGCTCTTGCATCAGCGTTTGCTGTGGGTTGCATAAGCGAGACCACTCCTTCCTCTGCCACTTTGGGTGCTAATTTAAAAAGCTGCTGGTTTTGATGGTCCCATTCCCTTTTGTGTATTCAGGGGGGCTTTTATGAAAAAAAAAAAATTTAAAAAAAGAGCTGGTTTAAGCAGTAAGCATCCTCTCAGTAAATGCTGCTTCATCTGAGAGCCCTGGCTGGCAGCTGGAGGCTGCGCTGACCGGCGGAGGATGCCCACAGCGCTGCGACTGGAACGGTGTTGGGCTTCCCTTCAGTGCCGATCTCGTCTTCTTCACATCCAGAAGGAGCGAACCAACAAACTGCAGGTGGAGCAGAGCTGGCGGTTGGCGAGGAAACAATCCGCTACTGCACAGCGACGCATCCAGCCCTCCGCAGTGCGGCTCTAAAAGCTGCTCTTTGCAAGCAGGAGCAAAAATCATTCCCACATAGAAACATTAGCGACAGCTTCCCTGCGAGGAAAGGCTGTTCCAGCTCACCCCCTCCTCTCCCTGCGTATTTATGAACGGAAAGACAGGCGGAATTCAGGAGCATCCCCAGCTTTGCCAGGATGGGTTTTCTGCAGCGTGTAGTATTAATTTAGGATGCTTTCACATTCCCCATCCTCCTTTCACCTTTCCTCCCATCCAACCGTGCCAGCTTGGAGGCAGCTGAGGGGGTGAGCAGCCGCCGATGACCCAAACGTCATGGCCCAGCGCCGCAGAGGGGGGACCGGCAATGGCAAATGCTGCTGCAGCGCGTGGCAGCCTTCAGCCAAACATGCCCAAACATATTCTCCAGCTGCTCGGGCCGGTGGGAAGCTGCTGGTCTAGCCAGGAAATGCACGGGTGTTTTGCACGCCAAAGGTCTTGCTCAGCACCCCAGCACCCGCCGGCTCCAGGGGCCTTCGGGGGTGCCTGCCACTCCCAAGAGACCCCTTTAACTTGGTCTTTGTCCCTTGGAAGTGTGCTTTCACCTTCTCGTGCCCCTCAGGAATACACCGCGTTTGCACCCTTGCTGCCCGAGTCGTGATGCCCAAGGCGCCTGGGTAGATTATGCCACGCTGGGAGGGTGCTGCAGAATACGGCCCCCCTCTCCATGCACCGGGGTAAGCTGACTCTGAGGGCATCAGCTCTCGCGCTGTGGGCAGAGTCAGACCTGCTGACCCCGCTCTGTCTGCAGCACAGGGGATGGGTGCCCTCCGGCCTTGCCATTTAACCCCAGCAGAAGCTGCCCTGGGCTCAGACCTTTCCTGCCTGTGGACTTGGATGCATTTTCCAGATAAGCCACAAATCCCTCCGAATCCTTCCCACAGGTTCCTGCAGAACATGCACGGACTTGTTCTTCCTCCTCATCCCTGCCCAGGAGCCTGCAGGACTCAAGACCAGCAGATCCTTCCCAAAACACCCGCAGCCGGGTGCCAGGGGGGTTCAGCTGACAGAGCAGAGCCAGGCCCCCAGGAGAAAATCCATCAGGAGAGACCAGGGTGGCCTAGGAGGGGGTCGGGCAGTGCCTGGGGACCAGGGGAGCACCATCCCGGCGTGGCTCTGAGGTGGGCACCCCAAGGGCAGAGAGAGTCGCCCCTTCCTTAATCCGTTATCCCCCTTTCCCACTGAAATCCTCTGCACTAGTGACCCGCTGGGCAGGGAAGCCTGGGTGGGATGTGGAGCACCCCCCCGCCCTGCCAGCCAGCTGAAGCGCTGCTCTCTAAGGATCCTGCGTCTCCCCATGGGGAGGGGGCAGCCCTGTGTCCCCTGACGGGGGGGGATCCCTGCACCCCTCGGAAGGGGGTGCCTGCGTCCCCTGATGGGGATGTCCCTCCATACCCTAACTGGGGGGGGGGAGTCCCTGCATTCCCCTAGGAAGGGGTTCCCTGTATCCCCTGATGGGGACATCCCTCCATCTCCTAACGGGGGGGACTCCCTCCACCCCCTCGGAAGGGGGTCTCTGTATCCCCTCATGCAGGATCCCTGCAGCCCCCCTAGGATGGGACTCCCCACACCCGGTGACCGGGTGCACTCCCGGGAACGGGGACCGGGATGCGGAGCGGAGCGTTGGGGGAGGGGGGAGCCGTGCCAGGACCGAGTCAGCTCCCCGGGGGTGCCGGTCCGGTCCCGGGGCGGGGCGGGGCGG